ATTTTAATAACCTAACTTAGGTTTAGAAATCACATAACGGATGGGGATTGAATACATGGCAAGCGAGTTTTTAAACTGGTTTTCTATGGGTTCGAATCCCACCTGTTCTGTGATTTGTTTTGCAGTCGTGTTAGTAATATTTCGCGATTCGTGATAGGTTTAGAAAAGTTGACGTATTGCTAGAAATCTTTCTTAAGTTTAGAAACGGTAATGTGAAATAGATTATACAAATTTAGATTGGATTGTTAAGTTATCATTTGTTGAGATTAATGAGAAATAAAGTATAAAACAATTTTTAACTTAATTACATTAATATATACAAGTACTGATCTAATTATACACAGGCAGTTTGCAATAACTAGCTGTGTAATTTTTTATAATATTGTGACCGCTAACACACGGTGCAGTGGAGATCAGCGGCCGACGCTCTTGTGGTTGAAGGTCTACCAGTGTTATATTATTATGTGACGTCATAGCGATGACGACGGTCAAGGACGAAAGTAAGCGCTTAAGTGTTTATTTTATTTCACATTATTATGATATGAGTGTTCGCTACCAGTCACTCGTGAGAACTCTGCATTATGTATCCAGTTGGTGAAATGGTTCTCTAAATCAGTTATAGTCTTTCTAGTAATTTAGATTTAAATTAGGTTTTCCATTACGTTAAGTACTTATTATTTACCGTAATGGAAAATTTCCAACCTTCATGCAAAATTCCTAATTAAGACAATTATGGAACCATTGTTGTTGTAATAATTTATTTGCGATTTACTATTTGTTAATACAGAGGAAAATAAACACTTCTTCTGGACCTCATTTCTTAAGTATTAACACTAATTTGTAAAATTATATACTTTATGGTTTCTGTTATTGTGTCTTGTTCACTCTCTCATTTTGTTAAAAGATCAACTTATCCATTTCATCTAATTATTAATAATCTGGGTTTGTTTCTTTTTTTTCATAACGAAGTCATTTAAAGTGTTTTTAAGTATCTCATAAAGTTAGGAATCCTTAACCTGTAAATAGCTTGTCAATAAAGCTAGGGATCCTTAACCTTGTCAAACCCTGTGTAAAAAAAAAAAAAAAAATTCCTCTGTGAGCCACATAGTGTGTCTAGAGACATAAATTTGCATGTTTTTGCTGGAAACGTCGCACGAACCGTATACCTGTGGCTGGTTTCGATGATTCTCATACATTTTACTGTGACAAGGTTTTGTTCTGTAAGCGCTCCTGGAGAGCGAAACGTTGTCAGAGTAAAATGTATCATTAGTTGAACGTGTGTCCTTTTATTTAATATACTGTCGGTAATTCTACCAACATTATTACATGATGTATAATTTGTGAGTGAGCGAAGTGTGTTGTGGGTCAGGAAGGTGCTGACTATACTCTGCTGGAATAATTTTGCTGCCAGTGAACGAGGATTTGCATGTAAATACCTTTCCATTGATACAATTTTAGATATGTGTTTTGTGTGGTCCACAACTTATTTTCAAGATTGCAAGAAAATGAAATGTCGAGGATTGGCTGACGTGAAGATCAGTACAGTATCTATTGTATTTTACTATTTTTTTTTTCATATTTTGTACTATCAGCATTTGAAATTGTCTATATTGATGAGTGACTACATTTAGGTAGCATGTTTTAGGAGGTCAGTATTGATAATAGTTCTAAAACATTCATGAAGTGAGATGCGTTTTATTATTTATACTTAATTGCGCTATTCTTTATCAGAGAAAAGTTTTATTATTGTATTGTAAGGTCAGACTTGTGAATTAACTTTTGGTTTCATAAATCTGCACTAATAGTTATTCTCAACCAGAAATTTAATTCATCTTCCTCGCTAATTAGATTTAAATTCTTGGTAACATTCACTTTTTTACTGGTCAATACCACAGTCTGTATTATTATTCATTAGTTTCAGGTAGATCCTCTAATTCATGGCACGAGCGACGGTTCTTAGGGGCCATCTTTATGAAACAACCTCCTTCTGCATACACTAACCAAAAACCAATTAAAATTGCGAGAGTTACTCCTAAGAAATACACAAGCTTGAAGTGAAAGAAAATGGAGGGTTGGAATATTGATATTCCACTGTCAATAGAAGACGTGAATAAGACGAAATATGCGATTTACAATCAAGTCCCTGGTGGATGAAATGTTTTCTCAATAAAATTCCGTAATCCACGTAGTGTCTTGTTCATATACTTGCCTGTACACGTTACCAATGAAATAGAGAAAGGAACTACCTGACGAGATTAAACAGTCACACTGCTCCCGTCTGCCAGTTTTACACACGTCATTGATGAAGCTTCAATCTGTTGTACTTTCGCTCAGAGTTGACTATCAGGATCATCCAGATTATTGTTTTTGCAGGCCTATTGAAAGCAACATCCTGGTTGACCAGGCACAGTCTGCAAGGAAGTTTGACCTCGGATCACGCAGATTTAGTTAAGCAATTTTTTAATAAATTAGACACATGTGCAACACTTGGGTATCTTTGATGAGGAAACCTTTAATGATGAAACGTTTCGCCACACAGTGGCTTCATCAGTCCATACAAAGGAGAATCGTGAAGAACAGGAGTAGTTTGAGGTCATCAGTCCCTCAGCCTTGAGTCGATTTAATCCAATCAATTCTTTTCAAGATTGATGGACTAATTACATCGACTCAAGGCTGAGGGACTGATTACCACAAACTCCTTCTGTTCTTCACCATTCTCCTTTGTATGGACTGATGAATCCACTGTGTGGCGAAACGTTTCCTCATTAAAGATAGCCAAGTGTTGCACATGTGTCTAATTTATCAACCTGTCAGTTCTCTGAATCATTCATCTACAAACAATTTCTTAAAAATATTTCTCCATTGTCTATCCTGTTCATCAATAGCTATAATTTTATAATTTAGCATATATAACTTTTTATTTGGGCACCGAAATTAGCTTGGCATCCTCACTAAACCTTGCTAAAATTAACTCTGTTATAATTTAGCATATATATATATTCCTAGTAAAGCTATATTTGATCAGCCTAATTTTAGTTTATGTTAATTGACATCATTATATTTGTATTAATTTCATGATGTTAAGACATAATTTGGGAATTTATATTGCGGTATTGAATTTACACCTTTAATTTGTTTTGCAAAGCGATCATTGCTTTATAAGCTCTTCCCCCAACACACGCACACGAGGAAATAAAGGCAAACTCAATACACAGCTTCAAGAATAGACATGATTAAACTCAAGAAGCTAGAAATCAGTGATACCAAAGTGGTCTAGGAGAGGACGGGCCATGAGCTGTGTACCAGTGACTACAAATCAGTAAGTACACACACACACATTATATATATATATATATATATATATATATATATATATATATATATATATATATATATATATATATATATATATATATAAACACTTTAATTATCTTTGTTAGAGATTAAATGTAATTAAGAGTTCAAATTAATTTCTGCTTAATTAATCTGACACCTGATATATCTTGTTAAACCGTAACACGAAACCTAATGGTAAATATATACCACCAGTAGTGCATCATGACTTGCCAATACTACTGACAACACTACCACAACTACAATTACTAGTGCATCATGACTAGCTGACACTACTGACAACACTACCACAACTACAATTACTAGTGCATCATGACTGACTGACATTACTGACAACACTACCATAACTACAATTATTAGTGCATCATGACTAGCTGACACTACTGACAACACTACCACAACTACAATTACTAGTGCATCATGACTGGCTGACACTACTGACAACACTACCACAACTACAATTACTAGTGTATCATGACTGGCTGACACTACTGACAACACTACCACAACTAAGCTACTAATGCCTCATGACTAGCTCACACTATTTCTACAACAACGACTGTTAGTGTCACACTACCATCATGGACTATCACCCTGCCATCACTACTGGCGTGTCACAAATGGGTCATACGTGTGTTACACCGTACAGTAAATGCACTATAGTTGAACCATTACTATGACTTGTTTGCTGAATACGTTAGTTAGGCGTGAAAATAGAAACATTAGGCCTGCATTCGCTGATGATGTCGTTTCATTAAAACAAATTGGAGTGATTGTTGTCTCACTTGCGTATTTTTTGAACGATGCAAATTTATAAGCTGTCTCATTGTGCAATAGCGAATATTTTTTTGTCCATTTGCAAATTTCGTATTTTACGAAATGCAGAGTTTTGTTAAGTTACCATTGCAAATTGCACGCTTTACGTAATGCAAAGTTTTATAATTATATGCAACTGTAAAATGCTAGATTGTTGCCAAAATAAATTGCGAGCTGAGTAATGAAATTCAATATTTTATCAATTTAGAATGAATGTTGGACCAGAAACATTTACCTGTTTTTTAGGGAGCTGAATTCAGTCATTATACCGTTGAAATTGGAGTGACGTGTGAACATTTGTATTTTAACAGTAGAGCGTTAACTGGACTCTATAATCACCCTAAGTGGCCCCACACTTTTTTTTTCACGCCGGAAAATTGTAGTTGGCAGTGAACGGAAGGTTGACAGAGAACGGTACGTTGTCTGTGTAACGAACGTTGGTATTATGGGGAACGTTGATAGTGTGTATAAATTTTGGTGCACGGAGTGTTGGCACTGTATGGAGCGTTGGCACTGTACGGAACGTACAGTATTGACTAATGTACGGACACTAAAAACAACCTTCACTGCTTGTTTAAGATCAAACACATACCATACTGGGAACGCTTGAAGACCCTCGAATTGTACTTCAGGAGCTTAGGCGAAACAAAGATCTATCACTGTTTAAACTTTGAAAATTTTGGAGGGATTAATCGCACATCTTCACAGTGAAATCACTCCCGACGAAAGCAGACGATGCAAAATGAAAGCAGGGGTACAATTAATGCACTACGAGATCATTTTTATGTAGATGAGCTAAAACTTTGCAGCACCCTGAATGGCTAAGGGAAATCTTAAGCAGATCCCTATCTGTCTTGAAGTGGGAATTCGGTACGTTCTTTAAATCAATACTGGATCAGCCGGCCTATGGTTTATAAATTGTAATGCATGCTGTCAGCACCATCTGATGATGAGGCCGTCTACCGGGATGCCTGATGATCAGGCTATCTTCCGGGAAGCCTGGTCTGGAACCCAGCAGTGGGGTCATTGACCCCCCGGATCTGTCTACTGGTAAACCATATATAATCATCACTACCATCACTTTTATTTATAATGATTTTCCACATGTAAAATCACGAGAAATTTGGACTCGGGTTTGTTCATTTATTTTCCAAAAGTTTTAATAAATATTGCAGATTTAATTTCGATTTTTTTATTAAATCATACTGAACAGTATTAGAAACGAAAGCGTTAATGGTTCATTTCATAGACACTTGGGGAATGTAGAGACATGGTGATGAGTAAATTAGTGTTGATGTTTAGAAAAATCAGTGTTTAGTACAAAGTCTTCAACTTTGGCAGCCGAGTGGCATTGTTCAGTTAGTAATTGAGATGATCACTAGCGTTGTGTGCGCGTTCAGTAGATAAGTGTGGGCGCCTGTCGAAGAACTTCTCTTCATTCAGTGGACGAGCGTTAATGTCTGAGGTCACGGGCATCGTTAATTGGAGGTGCGGTCTTGGTTCAGTGGTACTGGCCGGTATAAGAAACCTTGGCCTGGAAGCCACTGTACTTATCGGCCTGGTAATCCACCTACAGGAGAAGGAAAAGAGTATCAGTACGGTACTTGTTATCCTCTCTGTTTTTTTTAGTTTCACTCATTCTGAACGAACGTAATCTTTCACGCCCTGAAATTTTTAACTAATTCTGTTAATCATTTAAACGCCTGTTACTAATATTAGAAATATATAAATATATATATATATATATATATTATATATATATATATATATATATATATATATATATATATATAATATATATATATATTGTCGTGCCGAATAGATAAAATTGGCCAATTAGCAAGAACTCATTTAAAATTAAGTCATTTCTAAAATTTTCTCTTATACGTTTAAAGATACATTTTTTCAGTTATGTTCATGTAAAAATTAATAATTTTGTACCAAAAGAACCTTAGAAAACTTGCATAACCTTATTATAACATGCTCCATTTAATTTAGCCTAATTCTAACTAAATATATTTTAGATAAGTTTACAATAATTAATGAAACGCAATGAAATATTTTTTTCGTTAGGTTCAGAATGATTTTTGCGAAATTATTGCCTAACAAATCTTCGCTTGCCATATTCGGCAAGAAGAGCGTTGCTATACAAGTCAAAATAGCAAGTTTTACCTATTCGGCATGCAATATATATATATATATATATATATATATATATATATATATATATATATATATATATATATATATATATATATATATATGCTTCGGAGGAGCTGGAGGAAATTCATGATCTTTAATACATTGTACCATTGTGTTATGTTTGTTTTCTGCAGATGTATTCTGTTTATTAATAAATGTTCACATAGAATATAAAATATAGGGGGTGGTAGGAGAAGAAAATATTCAAACAGCTCCGGGGAGAACCATGAGTTTTCCCTGAGGTACGTTTATTGTCTTCTCTGAGGATGAGGGTCCCCATTCTAGCTATAGAGGTGGTACCTCCCTATATTTTATTTTATATATATATAACGGATATAAATGCTAAAGGAAATTGGTCCTAAGTATCGTTGTTTATAGATTAATGAGGAAAATAACACTCGAAGAGAACAAGGAAAGACTTCAAAATGAATTGAAAGGGTTGAAAGCGGGTTCAAGAATGTCACTATTTTAATTCAGTTCTGATAGTGTAAAGTAATTAAAATAGGAGAAGGACTGATTAGAGCAGACACGGAAGACCACCTGGTAAGAGACGCTGCAGTCAACACTCAAGCAGAAAGTTCTGGGATTAAGCATTTCACGAATCGTATCAATAGAGCATATAAATCGGTATAATTTCAGTGGGAGATGTAAAGCTAGCTAATTTAAAGAACTACTTTTAGGAATTTGAACAGATTCGTTTAATTCCTCAGTTACCGTCTGCTGGCGGCCGTCGGGTAAGTCGACGCTGTAAGTTCCTTTCACAACGTTGCCATCGGAGATCTCCTTCCTGCCGAAGTTCTGGCCGCTGTAGCTGTCCTGAACGCCGTACTTGAATGCGTAAGGCTGCTTTAAAAGACAGAAGGAAAGTCGGTTTCATTGCAGGACAACTGGGACGTTGTTTTCTATAATTTATTTTTTTTTTGTAAAAGAAGCAGTCGTGGTCAAAATTTCCATACACATATTGCACAAAATAGATTAATAGATACATTATTAAACCTCTCAGCCATCATAGAATGCACATGGAATATGTCCACAAATAATTATTTGGTCAAAAATTTGTGAAACTTAAATAATACTATGAAAATATTAAAATAAAATTACCAGTTGTAATTTAAATAATAAAAATCAGAATGAAATAAGTTTTTAAATATAAGTAGGAAAGGACTTATTGTATTTTTTAATGATATAACTGCGTACATGTGATGGATTAGCTCATCAGACATTGGTGGTATGTATGATGTGGTACAGGTGTTTGTGTTAACTGGGCACTTGGCAAGGAAAAAAAAGTTGTCTAAAGAAAATATGGTTGTAGGAAATGAGCTTACTTGTTGGTAGTAAGGGTTGTAAGGAGAAGCCAGGACCACACTTGCCACCACCAGCAGTATCGCCACCTGGACACGTAGGTAAAATTTCTGTTAGTACAGTGCTCTGCTACACATATGAGTTTCGATTTACGAGCAATTAATAGAGCAAATTTATTACATACACTATCCTGTCCAATTTGCTTATTGCAATAAATTCTGTAATTGGTGTAGCATGCATTCTTTATGAAGCACATGTAAGGTTAGAATGGCGCAAGATGAGCATTCTAACTTTAAATGAGTCTCTTATCTTTCGTGAGATGCAATATTGTGAAATAATCTCCATATATTGAGATCCTCCCTAGCTATCCAGCATCCTCAATACTGATGTGGGAGTGATCTTACTTATAGAAGCATTAAGATTAAAATTGATCTTACGTACTTTGCAAATCATGTTGAATTTTTTTGGGACGTTGAGTTAAACCGTCTTCAGCGAGTAGTACGCGGTGACTGATAGCTTACTCTCTTAAGGTGAAGAGGAGTTATACTTGGAGGTGGTTCTTCAGTCTTATATACGCCAGTCCTGGCGGCGTCTTGCAGCCAACACCCGCAGACATCTCATTCCTCAACGGGGAACACCCTGGTCGACCCCAAGCCTCAAGCACGACTTAAAAAATGGACAAAAAAGTAGTATTACTTAGCATGGAGTTTTAGGGTTGTAGAACAGTTGCGGAGGGAACAATGTTTATTGAAGGGAGGAGTGATTGTAGTTAGTTTGTTGATAAATACTTTATAATTATCTTTGTGGGATACAGTATATGTCAGTACCTATAGGTTAGGTCTAATTTCTACATCCAAGGTTGTGATATATTTCAAAGATATTTTTCCATCTCCTGTTGACACACTAAAATATATCATATTTAATACTGGTTGCAGAGTACACCTTGATTCTGTAGCAGTAGTGGTAATAACAATGATTAAAAGTTTTAATAATTTTCCAAGAAGATATACAAGTGTTACTAGGATGGGTTGAAAGTTGTTTATTCCCTCATGTGTAATTGAGCTTAGTAATGCACAGCAACACCCTTATTAGTTACAAACAAACGATTACTTTAACGTTTTTATGGCGCTCCTTACAATTAAAACAATAATTACTTTATAAACGAATAATAGTAGTCAAAAGTAGGCTTTTGTATTTCGTCTCACAAGCTTTTTATTCTCGTTAAATTTACCTTCGTTTTTACAGACTTATAATTATACAATGTTTGTATTATACATATGAATATAAATAAAATTATGATTGTGTCTTATTTAGACTTGTGTAGCTATCTAAATATTCAAGAGATAACAGTACTACGAAAAATAAAGTTCTAAGACAGAACTATGGGAACAGTTTAACGGTTATTTTAATCACGGGAAGCTCTAAACTATTATAGGTCATGTAGAACCTCTTTAATGGGAGACATTGAGGTTAGATCCAAGGAAGGGAAGAAGTCCAATTCCTTGGAATATAGGTCCCTCACCGGCATAACTCATAAGAAAGAATGAACACTGCAGCAGGCCTGCTGGCTCATGCGAAGCAGGTTCAAATCACCTACCGGCCTAAGTCACTGGCCCAAGCTAGTCAGGTCTAAGTCGCATCCACCTAAGGAAAGAGCACTGCATCAGACCTTTGGGGTATTTATGTTAGCCACGTATTGGGCAGATTAGCGAAACTGGAAAATTCCTGTGTGATTGTGAAATATAAACATCCAGTTACTACATTGGATTATTCCTAACCTAGCTTTTTATTATTGTGTATATCATGTACATTAAAAAAAGTATAATATACTTTCCAGAAATGTGTAATAGTGCAGTGTGAATGTTCAGATATAAGTGACCTAAAAGATTAAGTAAAGTAGAGCTGTAAGGCATTATTAAAGCAAACTACAATATCGTTAGTCACCCTTGGAAAGTCCAGGTAGGTTTTCTGTGATGTCGGGCCATAGCAGTCCATGCTTCCCCACCAATCTGGTAGTAGGTTTACGCGCTGCTTATGACTTCTTGTGTGACAACGTTAGTATATTATCACGACTCGTGGTGCTTTTTATTGTTTAAACTTGAAATGAAATTTAAAAAGACACTTTTCGCATGAAGCAAATAATTGATTCAAGAGGGAGAGAATGAAAATGGTGTTGCTGGAAGCCTAGTTTCAGGTTCTCTGAGTAAGTCCAGGTTTACCCAACCACTGCTTCTGGGGATAAAGGGAAACACCCCAAGTAATTCCTGCACCCACTTTTTTGTTGTTGACACCGAAGGTTAAACATCTTTTGACTCTTCCTCTTAGTGTGAATGTTGATATGTTTGTACGTACTTTCCGATTTGTTAAAAGTGGTGCAGTCAAGGTTTCCGATTTGCTAAAAGTAGTGCAGTCAAGGTTCTGGACTTAATCTCTAAATTACATTAATATAACTGGTTCACGAAATCGTAATGACACGATTGCAAACAAACCATACCCCGACCGGGATTGAACCCGCGGTCAGAGAGTCTCAAAACTCCAGCCCGTCGCGTTAGCCACTAGACCACTATAAATATACCTAGTTGGACGAATCTTATTGTGGCTAGCTGGTCTAGTGGCTAACGCGACGGGCTGGAGTTTTGAGACTCTGACCGCGGTTCAATCCCGGCCGGGGTATGGTTTGTTTGCAATCGTGTCATTACGATTTTGTGAGTCATGTTGACGGCAGTGAAGGGACTTGAGCTAGAGTTCGTCACGGCCACGCTAGCTGGAGATTCGTCTGTAAAAACTTGCATTTGGGGTCACAGGGGTGCCTGTGCAAAACTTCCTAGGGTGTAAAAATACTGGGGAGAATCTTATTGTGGCTAGCTGGCGTGGCTAACCAGGGGTGGGTTTTGGACTCTCTAGGGGGGTTCAATCCCGGGCCCGGGGGATGGTTAATATAACTGTTTTTGGGCCTCTTGGCCGTGATGTAATGTCATGTTTGCAAAACCCTGAGCTAATAGTTTGTTTTCTGCAATTTGTCACAATTGCAAGTTGAAATAGAAAAATTTTCTTGTGAATTTTTATAATCATTGGAAGTCAAAATTCTTGTTTCCTGCAAACAACGGACCTCACAATTATAGATTATAGGGTCACGGAAAATGAAAAATTATTAAAAAATGCTGATTCGTGCCGCTTAGTGGCATTCGGAATGAAATAAATGTGTTAAAGAATTATAGAAAAATATGAGGTATGTAGGAAATTTTATGACTAACCAGATTTAAAATAATTAAGCAGCAATTTTTTTGAGGGAAGGGGCAAATGTCCATAATTTATAACAGGAATAAAACTGTACGACTTAAAATAATTCTAGGTGTGTTTCACTCCTCTTGCATATTCAGTGTCGTTTTTGCATGTGCAGGTCACTACAAAAGCCGCTAGACGAGATACAAGCCCGGAGGTGAAGTGAATCGTGTCATCACCGAACTTGGGAAAGGCCAAAGCTCGCTCACAGAACATTCTTCCATTAACAGCATGAAAACAGCAGATTTGCATGCCAGAGAGTTACAGGCTCAAAACCGCCCATTCGAAACCTTCATGAATGGAGGATGAAACAACAGTACACCATGCCTAGTAAAATAAAATAGGAAAATGTAAATAGCAGAGTACGTTACACGTTTATTTCATTACGTTTAAACAAATATACTATTTTAAACTGGTGCCCTTAATTTGGAAAGCCACACTGATTTATGTTAGTTACATGCTTGTCTTCAGTAACCCGATTTTGACTTCTAACCGTATACAGAATTCCAGTAGTAGGAGCTTGACTTGAGAAATGCTGTTAGAATCAGAGATACGTGTGGTCGATTGCTAGTATCGGATCCTCTTAGCTGGAAACCAATAGAAAATATCTCGCAGCTAATTTATTTTTAATACAGTACTATATACCGCTTTATTTCTTGGGACTGATTATTAAAAGGGTCTAATGGTTGTCAAACTGGGACTAACGCTAACCGAACATGATATAATCGTAATTGCTATAAAAGTGGTTGACTGGGACTATACGTAATTAACTGGGACTTCTGGATAACGAATTAAAACATGGGGTAATGAGTTGGGGCTACGGTTCAGCTTACTAGCACTAGCCGTAGCCATTGTAAAACTTGTGGACTAGAACTAGCGGTTAATATTGTGGATCTGTCGTTTAGCTGACAAGCGACAGCCTTTCTGGAACTACAGTTTAGAGGGTTAGAGCTAGCAGCAACAATTGTGGGACTACTGTTTTAACAGGCTAGAACTAACGATAGCAGTTCTGGAACTATTTAGCGGACTAGAACCACTGTAACCATTTCTAAACTATTGTTTAGCGGACTAGAACTATCGGTAGCCATTTCGGAACTACTGTTTAGCGGACTAGACCCAGCAGTAGCCATTCCGGAACAACCGTTTAGCAGGCTAGAACTAGCGGTAGCCGTGCTGGAACTATTATTTGGCAGACTAGAACAAGCGGTAGCCATTCCGGAACAACAGTTTAGCAGGCTAGAACTAGCGGTAGCCGTGCTGGAACTATTGTTTGGCAGACTAGAACTAGCGGTAGCCAGGCTTTGGACTATTGGTAGCTAGGCTGGGGATTGTAGATCGGTGCGGAGCTCTGGTAAGCATTCCTGGGCTTGAAGGTGACTGCCGGGCCGGTTTCGTGCGGGTATTGGGCATCGCCATAGAATTGCACGTTCGCCACGAACCCCTTCTCATGGTCGGCCTGGTAGTTTACCTGCAATATGAGAGGAATTGATAATATGTGATCGAAGTATTTGAGTGGGTGTACTTATCTAGTTGTGACTGCGAGAAAAGCTTCTGGTTCTGCCTTTCACTTCTTTCATCCAGCTTCTTCTCAAAGGTATCTTGATCTAAGGAATTGAAGGTACCCTGTCCTTGCAGCAAATCTGATTGCTTACCTTTAGGGGGGTCCCATAATCTCTACTCCTGAAACCGTGTATGGTTCTTTAATCCACGAACATTTAGTTCATTCCTCTCACTCCTCTGACTCTCAAAAAGGAGGGAGGGGGTAAAGGAGGTTTTGTGTGCGAGGGACTTGGACTTCCAGCAGGCATGCGTGAGCGTGTTTGATAGGAGTGAATGGAGACAAATGGTTTTTAATACTTGACGTGCTGTTGGAGTGTGAGCAAAGTAACATTTATGAAGGGGTTCAGGGAAACCGGCAGGCCGGACTTGAGTCCTGGAGATGGGAAGTACAGTGCCTGCACTCTGAAGGAGGGGTGTTAATGTTGCAGTTTAAAGAGAACCTGCAACGTGATGGATGAAGTGTAAAGTTTCTTTTCACCGCCTGTGGTCGGCAGTTGAAAAAAAAATATTAAATATTATTGTGTGCAATAAGCACTAATATATTTGTATATAATAAAATATTTATTTATTAAAGATGTATAATTTTTAAATTTAGATGGTGATATATGTTATATATTATTTTTGCAAATACTGCCTTAGTTGGAATAGCGTGGATAGCATAAACATTGCGATTTGGTTATTAATTTCATTGCTCATCTGTGTGCATAAGATCAAGCGTAAATTTTGATATATAATATATTTATCAATAATCATATATGATACCTATACATATATAAATATATATTTATCACTGTGTGATTAGTATTAAATTAATTGTAAAACAATTTAAAATAATTCATTTGCTAGTAAATTATTTCTTTATATAGTTAAAGATATATTTTTTTCTTAAATTTTTTGTAGCAAAATAAATTTAATTTTGACAAAGAATTTAGAAACTTACCTAACCTTATTATAACAAGAACAATTTATTTTAGCCTAATCCAACTAAATATATTTTAGATTTGTTTACAATAATTTAATACTAAACAAACACAGTGAAATATATTTTTTTCGTTAGGTTTAGAATGATTTTGGAGAAATTATTGCATACCACAATTTTCACTTGTCCTATATGGCAAGATGAGCGTTGCTATTTAAGCCAAGATCGCAAGTTCTGCCTATTCGGCACGACATATATATATATATATATATAATGTCGTGCCGAATAGGCAGAACTTGCGATCTTGGCTTAAATAGCAACGCTCATCTTGCCTATAGGACAAGCGAAAATTTGTGTATTAATAATTTCACCAAATCATTATGAACCTAACAAAAAAAATACATTTCACTGTGTTTGTTTAGTATTAAATTATTGTAAACAAATCTAAAATATATTCAGTTGGGCTAGGCTAAAATAAATTGTTCTTGTTTTTAATAAGGTTAGGTAAGTTTTCTAAGATTCTTTTGTAGCAAAATTAAAATTTTTTTACATTAACATTAATGAAAAAAATATATCTTTAAACGTATAAGAGAAAATATTAGAAAGGACTTAATTTTAAATGAGTTCTTGCTAATTGACCAGTTTTACATATTCGGCACGACATATATATTATATTATATATATATATATATATTATATATATATATATATATATATATATATATATATATATATATATGAATAACAGTTTAAAGTTATACAGTAAATTCCTGAATATGAAAAAATATTTTATTTTTTAATGTCAATTCATGATCTCCCATGATGAGGAAACAAATTAACCCAAGAGGGACATAATCTATTAACGTGGTTGTTGTGTCGTGAAGGAGTGTAAAATGGTAGTAAGGTAAAAGGTTTTGGTTACCGTCTGCTTGCGACCGTCAGGCAGCTGTACTGAATAAGAGCCTTGGACGGTGCTACCGTCGGACTTCTCAGCTGCTCCAAAGTCCGTCCCGGCGTAGTCATCCTTCACGCCGTATGAAAAGTCGTAGGGGATCGCATCCTGTTTAGGAGGAAAGTGGCTCAAACTACATCAGTACACGATACAACAATAGTTCTATTTATGGCGAATTTGTATACTACTGAACCTTATTTTCTATAGAAGTGTTCTATCGTGCGGAATGCAGACAGAAATGCATGTTTAGTGCACATTATATAAAACTACGTTGTTATAGTTAATGCTGAATATGTTCTTGAAGAAAACAGTGGAGCTCTGATGGTTAAAGTTGGTTATATTTTTATTTAAAACAAGAATCCACACTTTACTTGAATATCATTTTTTTTTCTGATCCATTACGAGACGAACTTGTTTTGTGTGTGTGTGTGTGTGTGTGTGTGTGTGTGTGTGTGTGTGTGTGTGTACTTATGCGCTTTTTAGCATAACATTACGTGATTTCGCTCTTTAACAGATACGAAACACTACGTGATTTGAGGCTTGGAAAACTTGGTGACCTTATTTATAATGACATTAAACATGGAAATTTAAAAATTCCTTCCATGGGTAGGGCCTGACCTGCTTGTATGTGTTCTGGACACCGTAAGGATCCGATGGACGAGCCATAGCCTTCACAATTACTACCATAACCAGTAGCAGCGTCACCTGTGGGTAATATGGAAAAGTGGATTAAAACGGTCACCTAGCCACAAGCTGAATGTCTAGTCAACCAGTACAATCACAGTCTGGTGTAGCATTGAATCCTATCATTCATTATTATTAACGATTTGTTGAACGCGCGATAAGGTCGGTAATTGTTTACCCTGTCGCCGATGCATACTGTTTCCTTACGCTAGATTAGCTAAAATGAACGAAAATGTCTAATTTATTTAGTTATAATCAACATGAATAAATTACCTGCCGAAGGAGTATATTATCTTGATGTACGGCGTTTTTTTTTTTTATGTAGTGTTTTCAATAACTGATACGTCACTTAATATGTAATAACTATAATGGAAAAACGCTTAAGACGTTATTTAGGTAACCTGATCATCATTTCAGCTTGACCTGACTTTATTTTTCCAACACTCTGACTATATAAACTTCAGCCCTTGTTAGCAGTGTATAAGGAGTGAATAACGCCCCTTGACCAAAATGCTTTATAATCAATTCCTTAAGTGTTTGCTCGCGTTTCTTTTTCCTGTTTTAGTAATACGCCAGGTTTATATCACAGTAAATGCTGATTTTTATATCTGTGGTCATTATCAGTTTGCAGAGCATATGTGCTAAGATGGGTGATCCTGGTATTGGAAGAGCAGCCACGACAGTCAGTACTATCGGGATGCCGACAAGATGTGGGGAAAAAAAAAAGTCTACGTCTAGTTCAGGACATTAAAGAAAACTTCTTATCAAAGGTGGCTTTTCCAATCCGTTTCATGGCGAAAGAATTCTTTTAAGGACTGTCTTAAACTGTACATGGGTATTTTATTTTCCACACAAAAAATGAATTTACTTAAAATTCAGAATTTCTTGAAGGTTCTAAAATATCATTTATATGGGTAATTTTCATTGATGGTGTTGTTTGAGAATGTGTGGTACATAGCTACCTTGAGAACCATGCTGCAGGCTTGAATAGTTATGAAAGGGATTGTGAAGGCGTGGAAGGAGTGACTGCTGATGCTGGTGGCGCTTCGCTTTATACATCCCCTGCAGTGCTCCTGTTTGTCTGTGACGTCACAGGAACAATAAACAAAGAGGGAAAGCGATTGCATGCAATGAAAGGAATAAATCAACGGAGAGTGGAGTGATTGCAAGTAGAATAAATGACGTGCCTGTCCTTCAGAGTCCTAATATGTATTAAGCAGATTGTATGTGGTAATTCGTGTATTAATTTAAACAGTTTTGTGCATTGCGAATTGTGTGTGTGTGTGTGTGTGTGTGTGTGTGTGTGTTGTGTGTGTGTGTGTGTGTTTTATACTAGGTCACGTGTGTGTGTTTTGAAGGGATGTTGAACGAGCCACTATTCGTTTGCGGAACACACGTTTTTATCGGTCGTGTTTGCTCTAGTGCTTTGTTCACTCTTTTTATAAAGCCATGGAGGTGTAATCTGCTGACAGACTTCACTATTTTATTCTGATAGACCACGTTGTAGTATACGCCTGTCGGATCATTCATATGTTTTTATTTTGTTACGCTGGTGTACATTTATTATTATTGTAGTTCTTTGGTGGTCAGCTGATGTCATTAACCATTTTGTGTTGCACTCCTACACAACTGATCTTCGTCTCGTTATGGGCCAACATACCATGGCTGTTTCTCTCTTTTCTCTTTCTCTACTTTTTGCTGTCTCTTTTTGCCTTTTCTCTTTTCCCTCCCTACTTTTTTCTCTGTCTGTTACTCTTAATCATTGTTTCCCTTCCCGTTCTTGCATTTGTTCTTGCTCTCTATCATCGATTCATTCTTAATTATTTTATTTTGATATAGATGGGCGAATTGGAAATCGGTGCAAAGTACCATAATTATTTCGTCTGATGGCCAAATTAAAATGAGAGTAATTAGCTTTGACAATTTCAGTGTCTTAATTGGTGAGTGAATTGCAATGCATAACTATAAAGCGATTGATTTGTAATGAAAGTACAAAGACTTCATGTTTGTACTCCTAGCTTAGGACACAGGACGTACTTTTTCAGTTTTTACCAGCTTTTAGAGTTTTCAGTTTTGTGACCCTTCTAAAGAAGAGTGACAGGCGGATATATTCAGAACGGACAGGTTGTTAAATTAATAAAATAATGCAGCAACCTGATCGTATATAAAAAAAATTTTTTTTTTAGCCAGAAACATGATATAAAAAAAAGACATGGATGAGAATATTTACCTCTGCTGAAGGTGGAAGATATATTGATACCGACAATATGGATAAGAGGATGGATGGATTTATTCTAGGGACCTTGGTTACTTCTTATATCCGATGTCCTTTCCTTCCTACTTTTACCGCCTTTGCTTAGTATGGTACACTATTGTTGTGATGGGACACAGGTACCCAAGTGTTTTGATGAGACGTAGGTACACTAATGTTGTGATGAGACATAGCTAGCATAATTAGTCCCTCTAATTTGGCAGTAATTTTTTGTCTACTACTTTTGCTACTGCTGGAATGAAATAAATAACTCTCCAGTATGGCAACTTAATATACGAGGTTTCACTTTATTAGTATGCCTTTTCCCAGTGACTTGAGGAAACTTGTATATTAAGCGAAACGTTGTTGCAAATGTTATGGTACTGCAATACAAGGGCAATCGTGTCATTACGATTTCTTGAGTCATGTTGACGGCAGTGAAGGGACTTGAGCTAGAGTTCGTCACGGCCACGCTAGCTGGAGATTCGTCTGTAAAAACTTGCATTTGTGGTCACAGAGGTGCCTGTGCTAACCTTCCTATGGTGTAGAAATATACCTAGTTGGATGAATCTTATTGTGGCTAGCTGGTCTAGTGGCTAACGCGACGGGCTGGAGTTTTGAGACTCCGTGACCGCGGGTTCAATCCCGGCCGGGGGTATGGTTTGTTTGCAATCGTGTCATTACGATTTCTTGAGTCATACAAGGGCCTTATTTTATATTTAACTTTTCGCTATACACATTCCATTCCACCTACTGCTGCTGATATTGCTGTTATTGTTGTTACTGCTACTGTTGCATTTTCCTATTGTTTCTATTGTAACATGACATTGTATTCTTGTGTATCAATAAATAGATAGTTTGAACGCAAATTGAAGTTGAAAATAGTAATGTGGTTGAAGAACTCCTTAATCACCTTAATCAACGGAAAATATATATGAGAGTAATTTCCCAGAGCCGGTAGATTACTGAAGGGAATGTATGCATGGGCTGTGAATGCTGCAATCCAGGCGGACTATTGGATTACTAACGTGAGCTGGTGTTAAGACCGGATTTCTCTCAAGAAGCTCTGTAATCCAGAGTAGAGCTGAATCTCTCTCTCTCCACCTCTCTCTTTCTCTCTCTCCTTTTCTAATTTTTTTTTCAAGCCGGGCATTGCAGCCGGGTAGAATGGAGGGTGGGGAGAGAGCCTTCTGCAACAGTAGAGATATCGACACTTAACTTAGTCCTTCAAATAATAGAAATATTTACACAGTTCTCAGCAGATAGCGTCGATGTAGATCCTAAGGACCATTTAGTTATGCATATGTATCTCAGTGTTATAACGTCAGAATGAAAAACGCACAAATTCACCCGGACTGGAATACCATTACCGGTGTTAGTAAAAGTTAGGATCCATTGTAGCAAGTGAGCAGATGAGTGTGGAGTTTTGCCACTACTGTAAGCTGGAGGGTTTGGTGTGCGTGAACTCACTTTCCCATCACTGTTGACTTGACCTGAGCACCACTGGTCCTCTTGGTGAGGGTAGATTCATCCTTCCGCGCTGGCATAACATGACAGTGCTCCATCTCACTCTCTCTCTCTTTCATTCTGGAGATATATATAGCTAACTCTTTTTCGTAACTTCCAGTTTGTTCTTCCTCCTATACTTCTCAATACTGAAAATCGTAGACAAGTATTTTTGTGGTTTCCTGAATGAAGGAGGAGAAAGTTTATCTCATTTAATTTTGTCTTGATTATAATTGTTTTAGTATTTAGAGTTACATGTTTACACCGTTTGCAGAAGACTGGCGACTCATACATTGAGAATGTCTCTCAGCGTATGTATGTATGTTCAGAGTTTAGCTTTATCTTTACTTTAGGAATTAAAGTATTCTTGATTGGTGCATGCATACACAAGTACACACACACACACACACACACACACACACACACACACACACAAACACACACACACACACATACATACATACATATAATATATATTTATATATATATATATATATATATATATATATTATATATATATATATATATATATATATATATATATATATATATATATATATATATGCAAAACAACCAATGTGAAAAAGTAGCGAAATTCCAAGCGCATTCGTGATTTCTCACATTATCAATGAACAATAAAAAACAAGACATCAACAGAATAAGGGGCAAGACTACACCTCACAATCACGTCACAGGTGTGCTTCACAGAGTCGGGTGTTGTCACGCGACTGTGAGGTGTAATCTTGCTGTGGTGACGTGATTGGATTTTCGCTATATTTTTCATATTGTGATATCACATGTTTACTGTGATCTTATATATATTATATATATATATATAAGATCACAGTAAACATGTGATATCACAATATGAAAAATATAGCGAAAATCCAATCACGTCACCACAGCAAGATTACACCTCACAGTCGCGTTGACAACACCCGACTCTGTGAAGCACACCTGGTGACGTGATTGTGAGGTGTAGTCTTGCCCTTATTCTGTTGATGTCTTGTTTTTTATTGTTCTTGATAATGTGAGAAATCACGAATGCGCTTGGAATTTCGCTACTTTTTCACATTGGTTGTTTTGCATATATATATATATATATATATATATAATTTATATATTATATATATATATATATATTTATATATATTTTTTATTATTATATAAGTGTGTTCATGGGTATATTTTGGAAGTGCAGCAACTTTTCATTTTCAAGCAGTTAAAGCCAGTGGTGATGAGTTTTGGGCTTAAAGTATTTTACATTGTTTGGTGTCACAATCCTAAACTTCATCCTGCATTTTATCTAGCTTTTGGATGTATGGAGAGAAGGAAAGAAAAGGTGTGACAGTTCATGAAGCAAAACAAGCAAATAAAAAATGAAAGCATAGATCCTTGAGTAGTAGCTACCTTTATAAATGCCACTCGTGTTATTGTTTTTTTTAAATCTAGCTTTTCATGCTCAAGCTGAAAATAATCTCAAGGAGGTTGAAAAGTCTCAGTTTCACATTGGGGATGCTCTCTTGACTTTTGTGTGCCTTGAAAGACTGGCCGACTAAACAAGCTAGGCTTTAGAATCAGACCCACAACACCAAGTATCAGTGTAACCATGAGTTGCTGAATGACATAGCTGGAGCGTTGCGGGGAGGGACTACTACTAGTTCTGTTATGGAACCGAGGGTACTATTTCTTCTGCTTTTTTTTGTGTGTTCTAGATTTGCGAGGGATGGGGGGGATGAATATTCTATATTTCTTTGTAGTCATCACTTGCTGCAGATAATAGATATGGTTTCGTAAGATAATAGATAATTTTTTGAATAATTTAATGTAATTAAAATGTTTTCTAATATTGGTGTTACTATTACTACGACTACTATTGTTGTTAATACTACTTACATTATTACTTCTGCTCATATTACTACTAATTAAATCATTATTATAATTAGTATTAATACTATAACCACTAAAATATTAGCTTGTGCACTTAGTATTACTATTGGTTCAGCTGCTGGTAATGTGTAACCCCATGACACATATCTGGCGTTATTATTCATTATAATGTTCTGATTTGATCGACTACATTTCATTTTGGGTTAATATTGAGGCTTTGTTATAGGGGAAGTGGAGAGATCTGAGGTAAACATAATGGATCATGATGAAACAATTAAGCTGCCTTGAATTTTTTTAGCCTTGTTTAAATTGAGTTTCCAGTGTTGTAGACTTTCTAATTAGGAAAGTAGAGTGAGAGGTATCTGTGTAATTTAGCTGCCTCAAAACTCTTTTAACTTGCTGAATAAATTAGACCAATATTTCCCAACTGGGCACGAGTAACTGTGGTTTATTATCAAGGTAACTTAGTGAAATTAGGTACAAAAATTGTTCGAGAGAGAGAGGCTAGCATTTTTATGGGACAAGGAAAGGCAGTTTTTCTAGTATCCACGAAAGGTACGTACTGGTATGTCGGGAAAGCCTGAGTGTGTGTGTGTGTGTGTGTGTGTGTGTGTGTGTGTGTGTTTGATATGGTGCTAATTGACTTGCAGTCACGTACTTTTTACATAATGATTTGCACAAGTTTTCAGCCACACTCCATTGATATAGGAAATACACATACACACTCGATAGTGGATATATAATCGCTTAGGTTTACTTACATAATGTTTGGGGTGTTGCTACACTCCGGATCGCGTGTCTAGAATTGGCGTAATCGATATTTTGCGGGATTCTAGCTTTAAGGTCTTTCAAACCTACTCATGAAGCTGTGTAAGTAGTTTAGCTCCACCACTTCCTCGTTTATGCACGCAAGTCCCTCAGACTCAGAACTTACTTTGAAGTATCTTAAGCTCATCTGTGTGTTCACCTTGTATATGTCACAGTGGATACTTGTGTGTGTTCAGTTCTCGGTCGGCTGTCTCTCCGTGAGAAGTTAGATACTACTAAGTAATATAAAACGTAGTATACATGATAATATTCTCTTCATATTTGCAAGTATCATCGAATTATCTATATTCGTGTGTATATTTGTATGTTTATTTAATTTATATATATATATATATATATATATATGTATATATATATATATATATATATATATATATATATATGTATATATATATATATATATAATATATATATATATATATATATATATATATATATATATAATATATATATATATATATATATATATATATATATATATATATATATAAACTTTATGTATGTACTCACATGCTTATCTTACGTAACAGTACCAATAAGTTTGTATATGGGTGTATTTATGTAATATACATGTTTGTATTATACATTTATACTTGCAGGTATAATGTATGTATAAATGTGTATGTGCGTATGTAAATGTAAAATACTTTTATCAAACTAAATACTTTTCGCGAGTGAACTGTTAGCGACTTTATGAATTCAATCACTTTTTCCAATTTAAATTTCATTTCTGTATTTCATTGATGGTTCAGTTTCAGTAATGGATGTTTTTTTTTATTTAAACTGAATTGTGTGAAGTTAATTTATATACGTACAAGTATTTATTATCTGTGATATAATGCCATCAACAAGTGTTGAGTATTTTTTGTGGGAGTCATGTTTTTGTAGTTGATATATATATATATATATATATATATATATATATATATATATATATATATATATATATAATCTCGCAAACCAAGCGATACAAGATGCAAAAACAACCACGGGGGAGTAGAATGATAGCTCTAGGGCTAGGCCTTCTGTGTTGCAATCAACACATCATCAGCTGCACTCCAGTGAGCACGGTCCTCTGGGAACGTATTCGCATGGAAACCCTCCTTTTTTTCTGCAATTTTGAAAGCTCCTGATGATGTGTTGATTGCAACACGAAAGGCCTAGTGCTATCATTCTACTCCCCCGTGTTTGTTTTGCTATATATATATATATATATATATATATATATATATATATAATATATATATATATATATATATATATATATTATATATATATATATATATATATTATTTGTGTGTGTGTGTGTACTCTCGTTCCGAATAGGTAAAATTAGTCATTTAGCAAGAACTCATTTAAAATTAAGTCCTTTGTAAAATTTTCTCATATACGTTTAAAGATATATTTTTTTCATGTAAGTTAATGTAAAAATTAATTTTGTACCAAAAGAACCTTAAACAATTTACCTAACCATATAACAAGCGCAATTTAATCTAGCCTAATCCAACTAAGTATATTTTAAACAAGTTTACAATAATTTAATAACACAGTGAAATATTTTTTTTTCGTTAGATTCAGAGTGATTTTTGCGAAACTATTGCATACTCAAATTTTCGCTTGCCTTATTCGGCAAGAAGAGTGTTGCTATTTAAGCCATAATCGCAAGTTTTTCCTATTCGGCTGCACCACAGCCCGGCTGATCAGGAACTGACTTGATGTACTACCACTATTCCTCTTGAACACAACCACAGGTTCATTGGTACTTCCCCTTACGCATGCAGGCAGTGTGTTTAAGAATCTTGGTCCCCTTATGCTTGTTGAAAGAATGGTATATTCAGTATTGTTTATCGTTCGAATTTTCTCTTAACTAGGCATATGAATAATGGATGACTTATGCGAATAATTAGTGTATACGAAGAAAAAAACCTTTTTGTTGTGTATAAATGAAATTACGCATTATGGGTGACATGTTAAATTCTGAGTATTAATTATAGTATTAATCCGTAAAGCTCCACTCTGTCACCCCAGAGAGAGAGAGAGAGAGAGAGAGAGAGAGAGAGAGAGAGAGAGAGAGAGAGAGAGAGAGAGAGAATGAATCAGGTTCAGATAGGCTCGCTAGGACGGGTCCTGGCCCGGGTCTTCTCCATGTGGTGACCCGGCAGAGATATATACAAACAAAACATACAGACAAACAGTCAGAGAGACGCACCCGTGCTTTCCTGTGCGTTAATTTATATATAAGTGTATGCTCATACGTGTATACATTCAACATTAAAAGTTTATGCATAAATCATCATACTGCAGAGGGTAATAAAGAACTTAGTAATAATATATATTTATTAGAGTTTAAAATTCCAGGATGACTAGCAAGATGTTAGTTTACGTTTTGTGGTCACTGATAGTCCAGCTGGGGTCTGATAGTCCAGCTGGGGTCTCTGATAGTCCAGCTGGGGTCTCTGATAGTTCAGCTGGGGTCTCTGATAGTCAGCTGGGGTCTCTGATTTGTCCAGCTGGGGTCTCTGATAGTTCAGCTGGGGTCTCTGATAGTCCAGCTGGGGTCTCTGATAGTTCAGCTGGGGTCTCTGATAGTCCAGCTGGGGTCTCTGATAGTCCAGCTGGGGTCTCTGATAGTTCAGCTGGGGTCTCTGATAGTCCAGCTGGGGTCTTGTAGTCCAGCTGGGGTCACTGATAGTCCAGCTGGGGTCTCTGATAGTCCAGCTGGGGTCTCTGATAGTCCAGCTGGGGTCACTGATAGTCCAGCTGGGGTCTCTGATAGTCCAGCTGGGGTCTCTGATAGTCCAGCTGGGGTCTCACTGATAGTCCAGCTGGGATCTCTGATAGTTCAGCTGGGGTCTCTGATAGTCCAGCTGGGGTCTCACTGATAGTCCAGCTGGGGTCTCACTGATAGTCCAGCTGGGGGCCTCACTGATAGTCTAGCTGGGGTCTCACTGATAGTCCAGCTGGTGTTCTCACTGATAGTCCAGCTGGTGTTCTCACTGATAGTCCAGCTGGGGTCTCACTGAAAGTCCAGCTGGGGGCCTCACTGATAGTCCAGCTGGGGTCTCAATGATAGTCCAGCTGGGATCTTACTGATAGTCCAGCTGGGGTCTCTGATAGGCCAGCTGGGGTCTCACTGATAGTCTAGCTGGGGTCTCACTGATAGTCCAGCTGGGGTCTCACTGATAGTCCAGCTGGGATCTTACTGATAGTCCAGCTGGGAACTTACTGATAGTCCAGCTGGGGTCTCACTGATAGTCCAGCTGAGGATCTCACCGATAGTCCAGCTGGGGTCTCACTGATAGTCCAGCTGGGGTCTCATTGATAGTCTAGCTGGGGATTTCACTGATAGTCCAGCTGGATGTCTCACTGATAGTCCAGCTGGGGTCGGTAGGCGCTGGTCAGTGGCCTAAAGGTGATAGGGGGACCATAGACTTGAGGGTGTTGTGCCTGGCCCTTGTAGGTGACCTGAGCCAGGTAGCCGCCGTAGGGGTCGGCCACGTAGCTCACCTGGCAGTAGAACAAGGTGATATTATTCAGACAGGGAGGTTGGTGGTGGTTGCGCTTTGCCACAGCCCACACTAAAATAATATTAGCACTGTATAATCCTCATTCTCTCTCTCTCTCTTTTCTCTTTCTCATATATATAGGGAGGTACCACCTCTAGAACTGTCCTGGGGACCTTCATCCTCAGAGAAAAGAATAAACTTGCTTCAGGGAAAACTCAAGGTTCTCCCTGAAGATGTTTTAGAATTTTCTCCTGCCAACCCCTATATTTAATATATATTATATTTAAAGATAAAATACATTGAGAAAACAATATATATATAGTATGTGTGCTCCCCTTACCGTCTGCCTACGACCGTCTGGGAGTGCCACACTGTACGACCCCTTGACGTTGGCTCCGTCGGACTTCTCGTTGTGGTCGTAGTCCGTGCCCACGTAGTCGTCTTTGATCGCGTACGAGAAATGGTAGGTCACTGGATCCTGCGGAAGGCACCATAATTTTAAGTTAAAGATTCCTATAGGGAAGTGTAGGGGGCTTGGAGTTCCAGAGTCCTGTGCAGGGAAACTTTAGCTGTAAGTGATTAATTGTCATTATGTACTCTATGAAGCGATAAACCCAAATGGGCCTTTCAATGCAAGGATTGGTTCAGGCCCGATTCACCGTAAGCCGCTAATTGGCAATCATATCGAAAAAATTAGGATATAGATAAAACGCACAGGAAGAATTGCTTGGCATCGGATTGCGTTGAGGCGTAACTCATTGCGGGCCAGACATAACACTTGGATAAAGCACGCAGAGAACCTTATGTTAGGAATATTATGTTAGGAAGCAAAGAATCTTGTGTTAGGAAACAAAGAATATTGTGTTTCAAAGAGTCGTGTGGTCAGAAACCATGCGTTAATATCATTCGCTGTGTCTACTAGCGGGTGACTCAATACTTACAACTACGTACCTACGTGTAAGGTGTTCCGGGGGTCAACGACCCCGAGGCCCAGTCCTTGACTAGACCCACAAATCTCCAGCGCCCCTGGTCATCCCTCATACAGTCACATTATCGTACGTATGAGGTAAGACTACAGACTCGTAGGAATCCTTTCCCATTTTGGAAACCTTCCTCTGAAAGAAATCTTTCCCTAGACTAGAAATCCTTCCTCAGAAAGAAGTCCTTCTCCTCTGTTTTCCAGATTGAAATCCTTTTCCAGATAGAAATCCTCACTGGGAAGGAAACCTTTTAGAAATCATTGCTCACAGAAAAAAATAGTTCCCCAGAAAGAATCCTCTTCTCGCCAGGAGCTTTATCAAGGACTGATAAAGAGCTTTATTTTGGCTTGATGAAAGCTTTGTTAAGGATTTATAGAGCTGTACAGGGTTATATGGAGAGATGTATCAAGGCTTGATAACTTTTTCAAGGCTTGATAAGAGCTTAATGAAGGATTTATGGAGAGCTGTATCAAGGTTTTGTGGAGAACTTTATCCAGGCTTGGTAAAACTAAAGGCGAGTGAAACGTAGCTTAAATAAAATATCCAGACGTCACACATGCAACCACTTACCTAAATTCACCTGGCACTTGTGCACAACACATACTTTCACCTCGCAAGTGTAGTAACCACTTAGGGCGCAGTTTTCTATACTAAGCCACCTGCATGCGGTTGTGAACGTTGGAAAATGTTAGTCCACTCACATGTTGATAGGCAGGTCGGGCGTAAACACGAGCAGCTGGACCGTAGGGTGTGTCTTGTGGCAGTGTTGTCACCGTGCCTGTCACTATGGCTGTCACCACACCCATTAAGCCTGCCTGTAACAACCGCCAGAAATAAGTAGCAGAGTTGCTCTGATTCAAGTGATGAGACTATTGTGAGATTTGTGGGAAAAAAGCAAATTTATGTATGGTAATTGCAGTATAATACACCTTATTGCATTTGCCAGTTTACTCTTCCAATACCTACTATTACGGGCTATAAACACTATTGTTACTTCTCTTTACTATACCATTTATCCCCCATTGTCTCACTAACCCCATCATTTATCACAGTCATTCTGAAGTTTATCCTACAGGGTATGATAAATTGTCAACTTTATACGATACAAAATATATATCTTGAAATAAATGCATGTATATAACATACATTTTATATATATATATATATATATATATATATATATATATATATATATATATATATATATATATATATATATATATATATATATATATATAATGTATGTTATATACGTGCATTTATTTCAAGATATATTTTTTGTATCATATAAAGATGACAATTTATCATACCCTGTAGGATAAACTTCAGAATAACTGTGTTGGCACCAGTTTGACCTACGAATTATTTCTTGTTTTATCTTTTTTTTTTTTTTTTTTTTGTAACGCAGGTCAACAATATTAAGAGTGTCAATTTTTGAAAAATACCTTGCAGAGCATCTTGCTGTGATCACAGATGATGAGCTGTGACTGCCATCTCAAGGGAGGTGACACTTGCTTTTATGTCTTATCACCTTTCTTTGACATCTGACCTTTGTCGTTATTAGCTAGTGTCATAGGATTATATTAAGTGGGAGAGGGAGGAGAAAGGAAGTCAGAAGATCAGGAAGTTGGTTCGCAGGCTTCACTTAGCGTCTATTGCAAGCATAATGTGGCTAAGTTCACGAAATTGCTTTACGAAACCAGGCGTGGTCTGAGGCCTGTTGAGCGCTGCAAGACGGAAGACGACCAGCAATAAACCATCTGGGCGAGAGAGAGGAAAGGTGGCTCGGGACTACCATCACCACAGCGGACCAGCCACAGACCATCTGGGTGAGAGAAAGGAAAGGTGGCTCGGGACTACCACAGCGCTATGCAGTGCTTCCATGATGTGCTATAACCATTGGGAAGTTTATAAAATTTGATGACTCTTAATGCTGAAGAGTTTATTGGAAGCATAACTTCCCTCCTGTAACTACAAATAGGTATCTCTGTCTCTCTGTCTCTGTCTGTCTGTCTGTCTGTCTGTCTGTCTGTCTGTCTCTCTCTCTCTCTCTCTCTCTCATACATGACCAGGAGTTGAGACTCAACCCCTCCAGTGAAAAATAGGCGAGTATACATATACGTATATACGCTCATACATTGTAGTACTCACCAAAGTGTTTGCGGTTCGCATATATGAGCGCCTAATTTAGACATGTTGCATTAATTATCCTTGTTAAATTTACTAATAAACTTTTATTTTTGCAGGTACGTATTGAAGGTGCCTAGGTGTAGGAGCAGGTGAGTCAGGGTGGTGCACTGAACCTAGTTGCCTCAAGGCAGCAGTGAGAACTCTACACCGTGTTGGACTCAGGCCAATATGAATGCTGAATATATTTTGAAATGTGTGTGAATTTGTTTTTCTGTGCGTGTGTGGGGTTTGGGACCTGGAAGTAGACTGTGAACCTAACAGTGGGAGATCTGAGCCTGGAGGAAGTCTGTGAACCTTACAGGGAGGGAGGTTTTAGGTTGGAAGACTGATCCTGATAGTGGGAGGTTTTAGCCTGGAAGACTGAACCTGATATTGGGAGGTTTTAGCCTGGAAGACTGTGAATCTGATAGTGGAAGATTTCAGACTGAAAGGAGTGAGAATGGGTGGTTCAGCCTGGAAGAAGAATGTGAACCTGACAAAGTAACGTTCCATCATAACAGAGGTTAAGGGAAATATTTTTGTAGATTGTAACGACAGTAGTGAAAGGTATTTGTGTTTTATTTAGGACTTGGAGCGTTTACCGACTGGAGAAAGAGGCGCTTAATTAAATTTTCTTGCAATGATAAAGGGACGAGGGATCAGGAATGTGTGCGTACGTTTACGCTTAAGAATACAGTTCACAAAGGAGCAGTTAAAAATCTTGTAAGGGGGGTGGAATCTTTGCAGGGGAGCAGAAAGTCCGTAGAAAATGATGACAAATTGTTAGACGAGTGTGGCACCTGAGAACCGCATTTCTCAGCAAATCTAAAACATATTTTTCTCTCCATGCGTTTGTGTGAAGTGTTTATAAACGCAAAACATTTATAACACCTTAACTAGCTTGTGTTTATAACATAATTTTTTTTTTTGATATGGGATGTTCGTCAGTACGATATATTTTTTTTGTCCTAATGCGTTTGGATGTGTCGTTATGATTAAGCACAAATAAGGAATATTTACTCCTGTATACTTTGGGAATATATGTTAATGGGCATATGATACCACCAGCAATTGTTTCCTTACGTCTCTGTACATAGTACTATGTGCATTATGCATGTGTATTATTACGTGTGCTTATACAGATGGGTGTTCATCTGATAATTGTCTGTGTTTTGTGTGCTTGCGCGCGCGTGTAAGTGCTTGTGTTGATTGTCATACATTGCATGCAACTGTGTGAATTAAAATGGTTGGTGGGTGTACCTGGAGGGGGTTCCGGGGGTCAACGCCCCCGCCTCCCGGTCTGAGCTTTGCTTCCTGGCCTGACTCTAATACGCGATTATAAGGTTAAGTAAGCTTAGTCTACAATGAGTGGGTATTACTTAGCACAAGTAGAGTTTTTATAATAGTCATTAAGCTGGTTCTCGCGAGGCTAGTACAACTATGACTTTCATTGTACAAGTATGTATGTATTTACAATTATATGTAAACTACACTAGTTCAAATTTTTTTTTTCATCGCCCTTTGAAGAAAGAGGTATCTTAATAAAAATTCCATTTCTCTTCCGAATGGCATAGATCACACTGAGAGATTGTAATTTTTAGGTAATTGTACCTATATCTTTGGTGGAACAAAAAAAAAATTAGTTTCCACAACTGCTGAACCTTCATTATAGAATACTTGATGATATTCCCATTACCCTAGTGAAGACTCGTAGTTCAGGCTGACAGTTTCAACACTGAAACCCATCCTGTGTGATGGAATACGAAGCGGAATATAGCTAGGATTTAAAGAACGAAAAGGCACAATACCGTGACTGGAACAATGTACAAATAACCCGCACATAGGGAAGCTTACGACGACGAAATGTCGTCGTAAGCTTTTCTCTATGTGCGGGTTATTTGTGTATAGTTAGAATTTGTTCCCAGTATGTAACTATCATATGGGACAGTAGCAGCATACTGCTGATGTATCCAATTTGGCTTAAAAATGAAAATCTCTAATTATATATATATATATATATATATATATAATATATATATATATATATTATATATATATTATTAATTAGAGAGAGAGAAAGAGATTTGGTTTTTAATGTGTTGTTTATTGTAGTGTTTATGAGAAGAGAGAGAGAGAGAGAGAGAGGAGAAAGATACAAATAGATAAAAAAAGGAGGCAAAATACAGATCAAAGAGATTAAATAGAGAAATAAACTAGAATCAAAGAGAGATTAAATGGAAATCAGTGAGATTAAATAGAGAAATAAAGGAGAAATTACACAGATAAAATAAAGAGATAAAAGGAGAGAGAGAACGGTGGAGGGTTGGGGTGAGAGGACTGTTTGCAGTGCTCGCAGCACTAAGCAAATAAAGAGGCGGTATTTGCTGAGTATCGAAGGGGAAATGCATTGTCTACCGATTGATGAGTGAAGGTAAGAAGGAAATTAAAAGGTTTTGAGCCCGAATACATAATGGAGGGAAAGTTAGCATTAAGGTTATGCTTCTTCAAACGTGTTAAAATCTTAACGTTAAAAAACACTTGTATTAATATATCTTATTCTTAGGTAATATTTTGAGGTATAAAATACACCTACGCAAGCCTTTACTAATGGAATGTTTTTTTTATTTTTGTTGAAAAATAGAATGAAAGTTCCAATTGGTTAATTCATTATTGTCTACATTGCTTGTGGGGCGCGAAAGTTAATCAAATGATTATTCATTGATGGGCAGTTAATCAGCGGTGTCAGTAAAAAATAACATTAAGCCTATTGGCAGGTCCCGTTTTTTTTATCGTTTGAAGCGTCTTTTCTCTTAAAACCTGGAGCTGTCTTCTTTCATTATAAATACATTGACATATTTAGGACACAGGAGATCAGAAATTTCGTAATAGCGTTTGCAAATGTCGTAAAAAAATTTCGATTGTAAATATCTGAAGGGATCGCAAACGAGCGTAGAACGTCACGCATAATTATTTTATCTAAAGCTGCTTATGTATTTGCACTTATTTGTAATTACCTGTTTTATGATGACTTATTTGTGGTTATCAGGGTAATGTTTGTGGTGTCTACCTTCATAGCTCATATAATTTTGGAATGCATATTGTTCATATGGTTATGATTGTTTTCTCTCTTATCCTCATAACCTCGTGTTTTATCGTGTTTGCACTCGTAGTCATTTAGTTGCCGGTTCATGCAGCCGTCCATGTCATTCTGCAATTTTTTGCAGTCGTTTAGTATTTATTCTTCTCATGAACTTTGCATCATCTGCAAACAGTGACATGTAGGATTCAACATTCCCAGGCAGGTCTTTTGACGAGTGTGTGAAATCTTGGAAAGGAACCTGTTTTTTTCCCTCTGAGATTCATTCAGATATATAATGAAGCAGACAGCGGCTATTGCCTTTCTGGTGCCGACTAATGTACACTCTCCTTTCCGATGTCTTCGTTGTAGGCTGAAGTCATTACGATCCAGACTTGTATAATTATTAGTCGAAGGATTCTACGTAAGGAGCGTAATTTTACTTTGTATTTTTAATGTAGTTACTTAACCATTTCACGTAAAAAGTTGCTCCTCCCTCTCGTAATGGCTGGACCAATTTGATATGATTTTGACTATAATAAAATGTGTTGTATGCACAGACTTTGTAGTTGTCTTTTATGCAGTAACATATAAAATGCGTGCACAAGGAATAGCTTGAAGAGTGGGAAGGTGGATATTTAACTTTATGTGAAATCGAACCCTAAGTGTAATCAGCAAAGTAATATCCGAGGTTGAAACAGTGAGAAGCTCTCCTCGAGGCAGTGTACTCTCCCAGTTCTTTCTCATTCTAATACTCGACATAGAGGCATAAACTTCAGCACTGCATCATTCTTTATAGATGATACAGCAAATCTTGAAGTTGACATAAATCAAGTCTTTCAGTGGCCTACAGAAAACAATATGATGGTCAAATTTTAGTAACCTTGTTATGGAAAAATAAAGGAAATAAAAACTGGAACAGAGTAAAAAACATTCAAACCGCTTACTAGAACAGAATATTGAATGACTTAGGAGTGATAATGTTAGGATTACAATCACAACGAAAATGATAGGCTGGATAGCAAGAACTTTGAAAAAAAGTCAATGATGATGCATTTATTCTCTCTAGATTAAACTATTGCTGCACGCTGACATACCCTTTGAAGGCAGGTGAAATCGCAGGCAGGTAGGGAGGCACTTAAATTATTGGGAATTCTTCAAAGTTCCTCAAATTGTACTCCTTGGGATTTGTTTTTAAGCTTGAAGTTGTACTTACCTTGTAGTTGTGCTCCAAATAAAGGTTTTCTTACATTGCTACTTGTAAGATTCTTTCAGTTTTTCGCCTTGTCCAGTGGTAAAACCTAGATACATCACATATCTCATGAGCATGCTCATAAATTCAACCTTGTAATGTGTACTCAAATTGTTTATATTGTGTAAACTTCACTTTCTTATTTTACCTGTTATTCAATTGGCCTTCATCGCATAGCTCTGTCACCTAACAGTTGTCAACCGCTTCCACGAACTTTGGGTATATAATAGAAGCATTTTATATATTCTTTGATATACGACAGGATCTAGCGTAGTGATGTATTTTTTTTTTATCGTACTAAGCTTGTCGCATTGATTTTATAGTGAGTACGTCATCGTTGAGATCTGGGAATATTATGCTTGTGTTGATCTTAGTGATGAAATAGTAGATAGGAATATTTAGGTTCTAAGAAAATTTTCGTAAGTTTGGAGTTTACGATTTCCAGATAAAGGGATAATGTTGCACAGTGGGGCGCACTCCTAAAACTGGATTAGCGTTACTCCTGGCGCTTGTTTCTCTTTTTTTTTTTTTTACCCCTGGCTCTCCTTCCTAAAGCTGTAATGTCTTAAAACTTGGCACCTTTTCTTAGTACTTTGATGTCTTTACTTCTGGCACTTTATTCCTAAAGATTTAATTAAAGAATCCAGTTTTGTTCATTTGGTGTCTTATTTCTTTAGCTGTTATTTTTCTGTCACTTGTATGAAGTGACTGAACTGGGGAAGGGACAGTAGCAGTGCATGGACTTGTTCAAGGATATCAAGAACAGGAACCGTGAGCAACTTACGTCTGTCATTTTGCTAGCTAGTCCATAGGAAATTATACTAAGAGGGTAATAATATAGTAATAACAATAATAATGAGTAATATTAAGAATCACAGACCACTTTATATAGAAGTTATAGTTTGCGAGGAATTTTTAATTGTGGTATATATGTCAGGAGTAAGAAAATGGAAAATATACACAGTGTCATCATCTTACCTCTATGTTTCCTCACAATATATGTAAAACCTGCAAATGTATCAAATTAGGTCACCTCTGTTAATTGTTCTTTATTACATTGTTTTGCTGTACTCTTATGCATGTGTGCTAATTTTGGCTTACAAAGTAACGCTCTTTTTGCCGAATAACGGCAAGCGAAAATTTGTGTTTGCAGTAATTTCGCAAAAATCATTCAGAACCTAACAAAAAATATATTTCATTGTGTTTGTTTATTATTAAATTATTGTAAACTTATCTAAAATATATTCAGTGGATTAAGTAAATTAAATTGCGCTTGTTATTGTAAAATTTAATTTTTTATATTTTGTTACAAGAAATTTATCCATTTTTTATTTAAGGAATACACATTGAATTTTATTTTATTTTAAATCCATATGCGTTTAGCGCTTTTCCGCTAATATAACAGTGTGTCTGTACGTACAATATTGGGTTTCTACAAAATCTGATTGGCCAGTCGATGAGCCCCATTGCTCGCTGGCGTTGAAAAGTAAACAGTATTGTGGGTTTTCTTTGTTTTACCCTTTATACGCTATTGGTTACCAGTAGTGGAACACACGCTAACATTACGATTACTAATGACGTTTTGTAATGTATAGATCTCTTGTTCGCTCTTTGTTTATATTTGCTTCATAGATGACGAAGAAAACACTTCGTAGGCAATGGGGAATGTGAATCAATGTATATGGACAGGTTGTTAGGTTGCTGACATTTTAGACAAATTTTGTCCTTGAACGTTTTGTAACATAGCTTTTTTTACGTTAGCGTACATAAAATTTGAAGCATGTATCATTCCTTCATTTTGCGTATGATTTTTTTTTCGCCTTTATTTATATTCAGAACTATCTAGTCATTTGAAGCGGAGACTTTTTGTCAAAGGTGTCGTAAGTTTTTTTTTTAATAGGCATGTCTTTTCTTTTGGCTTCGTCAAGTGTTTTCTTTCTTCATTTTTGTAAGTTTCATCATAATCATTTTAAATGGTATAATCCGTACGTTGTTAGCTAGTAGCACTATAAGAAGGTATTGTAGCGATAATTGGCTATTTGTCTAACCCTTTGCATATGTGTTTACCCAGGAATGTATTTCGATGTTTTTGTAGGAGTTTATTTCGTCATTGATTGATTTCCTCTCTTTATTTTGTAACATATGCCGTAAATTTTGCAAGCATGTTCTTGCTACTTTGCAAGCAATGATTTTTTGACTTATTTTTTAAGCATTCTTTACTTTGTTTTCTTTTTAAACTGTTTTTTGTATACGTCTTGTAAGTTTTTTTGTCTTGCCTCTGACTCGTCAATGTTTTTTTTTCATGTGATCATAATCTTTCTTGGATCCATCGTTCCTCCAGTACACTTTAGTGTATAGTTCACATTGGCTTTTACTATACCAAAGTTTAACCGGCACAGTGGCAGGCAGTTACTTTCGACGAATGCCATCCACTGGACTTTTTAAATAGCCCTAAATGCAGACCTGCGAAAGCGCGTCGGTAAGATTTCTTGAACTGTTGTGAGATGCTTGTCCTGTATTGCTCCTATTCCACTGTATGTTTGTTCGTACTTGATTCCTACATTGTGTTTGTGCAACAACGTCAGTGTTCTCCAGTAACATTAGTAACTTCACATGGTGTGTTAGCAAATAGCTTAACTTCCCACACTTTCACTTTGCTAAATAGCCAGCGGTAGAAATGTCGTAACTATCTCTCAGTTAGAGTCATACGTATCTATTGTATTGTGTTTTTCTTAGTGCTCGTGTAAAAAATGTGTCACGTAATGATATACTGGCGCAAAGCCCAACAAGATATAGTTTTATAAAATAAACATAGACACAGTGACACTACGCGTTATTACGAGTCCTGTCGTGTTTATTTTTAAATAAGCAAGACAGAGCTGAGACTACAAATAGGTTAGTTGGAATATATGAGTGCAGTTTCAGATATAAAGCAGGAAAGGTAGGGCATAGTGGACTGCTTTTTCGGGTATTATAATAAAGCTCCTGATAAGGTACAACACCAGTATAAATTCATGGGAAACACCAAACCCATAGTGGTCATACAACGCCTCGGAATGGAAGATTATCTAATTTGATGGTAGTAGAGAAGGATAGCTCGTTGCATCAAGAATGTATTTAACAGGTGTTGGAAAATCGTGTTAAAGAAAAGAGAAAGTATGGGTTCATTATAGGTTAAAAGTTGCTAACTAAATACTTACAGCTTGAAACACTGAGATATGAAATGAAAGAAATTTTGAAGGGACCTTGCTAGAGACTAAAAGGAAAAAGAATCCAGAGTTGGAGCAACTGAAAGACTGGAGACCAAGTATGGGTGAGGGAAGTGCTGGTGTGTAACAAGTGGGGTCCCTCGGGAATCTCTGCTGAGGACCACTGCTGTTTCTGTTTTTTCGTAATAATATCCCAGATAAGAATTAAAACATTTGAGGACAGGGAAGTCTCCTGGATGACCTGGACAAGCTGAGAGGCTTGTCAGACAAACGGTTACTGGAGTTCAACTTCAATGCAAGGTAATGACAATATAGAGAAAACAGAACCCAGACAAAGTACGGCAGGGAATAGGGCGAAGAATGTAAATCAACAAGTAGCAGACAGGACTTAAAAGGCTGCATCACACCAAATATGTCACCAGATGTGTGCATAACCTGAATTAGTTGGGCGGCATGGAACAGCGTTCAGAAACCTAAACAAGGAACGTTAATAATGTTGTATACGCAAGACCCATTATGGAGAATGCTGCCCCAGGATGAAGAACCCAACCTGGGTTAATTCTCTGAAATTAAAATAAAGTTTTTAAATGATGGACATTTTTGGGGATTGAGTTATAAACCCAGTAAGATTGATGTTTATTCATGCTTAAATTTGAACGTTCAGTAGTACGAGCCAGAGAAGAGTTTAGGTAAAAAAAGCTATCACCGTAAAATATTAAAGGATCTAGTATTAAAATCGGAAAAGACAAAGGAAATATTTTATTCGGGAATATTAATAACAAAGATATAGGTTGGATTACACTAGGTTAGATCTAACAGTGTATAGTTACCTTAATTTATCATATTTCTCTGACAAAATAATTTATGTAGCAATACGTAAGCGCAGCAGCATGAGCGGGAGGAGGTGGTAACATGCCATCCACTCGAGACTAGAGAAAAGAAGAGATCTTCAGTATATATTATTTAAACCAAGTCGATAACAGTGATCAGGTACTACCTGTGCTGAAGTATGATAATGCAAAATGTGATTTGGAAAACAAGGTGAGTGAGGATATATTTGGAAAAGAGGAAACATAGAAAAAGTAGATTTGGAATAAGAGAAAGATAGACAAGATAGATTTGGAAAAGGAGAAGGTATAAGACAGATTTGGAAAACGAAAAAGATAAGATAGATTCGGAAAAGGAGAAAGATATAGGGTAGATTTTGAAAAAGAGAAAGATAATATAGCACTAAAGAAGAGGAAAGTGTACTGAATTATAACAGTATCTTAAAGAAAATAGTTGTGAGCAAATATTGTGTATTATAAAATGCAAACAAGTTTACAGCGTTTTCAGTACATTTAACTACATTATATGACTTGAGTTGTGAAATATTTAATTCAGAAAGTGAAAACGTGGGACAGAAAAGTGATTTAACAACAGGTGCTGAAAAGCCGTGTTAAAGAAAGGAGAAAGGTTGAGCTCAATATAGTTTAAAAGTTGCTAACTTAATACTTAACAGCCTGAAACACTAAGATAAGAAAAGAAAGAAATTTTGAAAGAAATACTTCTATATTAACTGCAAGGAGTCGGTCTGATGATGGATGTGATAAAATGTGAGAACATCTGATAAAGACAGACTGCAAAGTATCACCAGAAAATAATATCGATACAGTAGAAAAATGCTTTACAGTCTTGAAAAACTGGCCTTCAAATATATGGGTGGCTAGATGCTTTAAACTCTTTTTAAACCGGAATGTTTGATTGTAATATGGTGTGCTCACTTAAAAAATGTATATTAAAAGTGTAAAGAACTGCAATGAAATAATTTAATTTAGAATATAAATTAAGACTAAAAGCTCCCAAAATGCGTTCATTAGAGGACTGGAAGAGGTGTGATTACCAATATGTTGGGGGAAAAAATTCTGTAAAATGGGGAATGTTTCTTTTTAATGTACCATCAATTTGGTGAAGATACGGTCCTGATTTCAAATTAAGAAAAAACTGTGCTTAAAGAACAGTCGTAGTTTTATTTTTTTTTTTTTTTATAAATGTAACGATGGAGAGATGGAATGGGCTGCAAGAAGAGGTAGTTTAAGCCAATATATTGGCATCTTTCAAAATATTCACCGACTGATTATAGAATCGGGGACACTTAATGCATAGCGAAGTAGATAATTACAGATCTATCGTTAGTTCAGTAAAGAAGTAGAATAACTGAGGAATATTATATTAAATGTTAAATATTTTAGCGATGTCGATAGCAGATACTTCAGTGATGAATAATGGCTGCCAATCTAAAGTTAATAGACAGGTCCTAGAGGTGGAGCTTAACACCTTCAAACTCGGCTAGGTAGGCACAAAAGCGAGTTACCATGGGTACTGACCATTTATAATTACTCCTGTTAATTTGATAATTTAATTCTATACCTGAAAATTATATCGATTTTATGTTGATGCAACGTATTGGTATAACATCCATGTGTCCTGCATTTTTATTTTAGTATATACAGAATACCAAGATAAAGTAATGCCTGTTGAAAACGGTAGGGATTAGAGACGTTGTTGGTTGCATGATCTACTGGTATCCAGGTTGTCCGTATGTAGGCTGGGGTTTGTACACAGGCTTGAAGGTGATGGGTGGACCGTATTCTTTTGGGTACTGGGCTTCACCGTAGTAGCTAACTTCAGCCCGGAAACCGCCATAATCGTCAGCGACGTAGTTCACCTGCCGGAAACGACGCAGTGAAATTTTTTAATACCACTTTCTCTCATGGTTTATCTTGAAATATTTCTGAACTTAACACCTGTTTTTCGTTAATAAATATTGTCTTACCGTCTGCTTGCGGCCGTCGGGAAGAAGAACGGTGTAGGAGCCCTTGACAGTCTTCCCGTCAGATTCTTCGTTTTGGCTAAAGTCAGTACCCTTGTAGTCGTCCTTTACTCCGTATGCAAAGTTATATGGCACCTGCAAGACAAAAAAAAAAACTGATGATTTTTAAGATGCAATTTACATCAGACCACAGATTGGATATGGAGATTCTTCGGTGTGGCCTGAACCATTTTCAGATCCCTCTGGTTATAATAGTTGATAGTGGAGTGAAATATCGTTTACTTAACATTTCTAATTTATGGTTTGTCATTTTTCAGCTACTGTTTTGTAACTTTTAGTCAGATTTTTAATTTTATATATTACGGCCTTAAATAACATTATTTTATTATGCGTAATTTTCTGCAATTATATTTTCGTGATGGTGGACTGACCTCGGCATAGACTTGCTTGGGTGGTGGACCGTAGACTGGTTTGTGTTGAGGAGGACCATAGAGGTCTTCAGGGGCGGCGACAACCACGCCCACCACCGCCAGGACCAACGCAGCCTGTGGGTACAAAATTTACGTCAGCGTTTGGAAAACAATACTTGAAAGTACATCCTTCACACTTTCCACTTAGCCGAATTGTTTTCCGTATTCCTGTATGGCACTTAGTTGAATGTTTCGTACAGATTCCGTAGTTTTCACAGGCTTAGCTCTGACCTTCAACATTGATACAGCCGTTAGAATTAATGATCCTGTTTGATGAAATTTAAATCAAAGAACAGAACACGTAGAACACACCACCTTGCAGATCATGTCGAGTTGGAAGTCGGGAAGTGAGTGATATCTCATTGGTGTTGCAGCCCATTTTTATACACGTAGGGTCGAGCTCTGGCCTTGGCCTCGAGTTGACGGTACCAACTCATTGTACGGCTGTTAGAAGGGCGAGAAAGAGTTATCATTCAGTATAGCGAATATAGAGTAAGGTCGATTGGGTGGAAGTGGCAAGTATAGCAAATGAACATAAATGTGAACGCGAATTCCTTGAGAAATTGGTATTTCATGACCGTCAATTCACCGTTGCCTTTGCGTTTCCGCTTGTTACAGGATTTTCCCTCAATCAAGGAGAATTTCTCTTGTCATTTTCTCAAGGCGGATTTAGCCCAGCTGCTTTCAATTTCAGGATGTACTTTGGAAATTCTTTCCCATTTCAACAATGAGGTTTGGCTTTAATGTGCTTATTAAATATCCCCCCAAAAATCTGATATTTAAGAAACGTCTACTAAGAAATATCGTATCTTAATATTTTCAAATATAAATACAGCCGGTTATATAAAAGCGCCGTTCGTCTTGCTGATGAAATTGAAATAGAGATATGACATGTTGTAATTAGATTTTGCGAGTGTTAAGTGGAAAAAATGTTGATTTCTAGTTTTTCTTTAGGTAATGGAAGACTGACTAATTAAAAGGATGCTGGTGAGTGAGTTTGGCTGTCAAGATAAATACTGAACACAAGTAAGGACAACTTGGCAGAGAGTGAGTAACTTGGCACAGGTGAGGGCAACTTGGCACAGGTGAGGACAACTTGGCACAAGTGAGGACAGCTTGGCACACGTGAGAGGGATAACTTGGCACAGGTGAGGACACTTGCACAGGTGAGGATGGAGAGTGAGACAGGCGAGGTGATACTTGAACAGTGAGGAACTTGACACAGGTGAGGAAACTTGACACAGCGAGGATAACTTGACAGTAGGTAAGGATAGTTGGCACAGGTGAGGAACTTGGCACAGGTAAGGACAGCTTGCACAGGCGGGATAGCTTGACACAGGTGAGGAACTTGACACAGGTGAGGATAGCTTGACACAGGGTAAGTAGCTTGCACAGGCGAGGATACTTGAGCACAGGTGAGGATAGCTTGGACACAGGTGAGTAGCTTGACACAGGTGAGGCAACTTGATAGCAAGTGGCAGAGTGATAACTGATGAACACTGGCAAGGATACTTGAGCACAGGTGAGGGCAAGCTTGACACAGGTGAGGACACTTGACAAGGCGAAGTAACTTGACACAGGTGAGGAACTTGAGACACTGGCGGGGTAGCTTGCACAGGCGAAGACACTTGCACATGTAAGGACAAGCTTGACACAGGCGAGTATTGCTTGAGCAACAGGTGAGGATAGCTTGACAGGTGAGGAACTTGACACAGGTGAAATTGCCATTGAAACTAGGCCGGAGGATAGCTTGCACAGGGAGATAGCTTGACACAGGCGAGGAGTGCTTGACACAGGTGAGGATAGCTTGACACAGGCGAGGATAGCTTGACACAGGTGAGGATTGCTTGACACAGGCGAGGATAGCTTGACAGGCGAGGATACCTTGACACAAGTGAGGATAGCTTGACACAGGTGAGGATAGCTTGACACAGGCGAGGATAGCTTGACACAGGCGAGGATACCTTGACACATGTGAGGATAGCTTGACACAGGTGAGGATAGCTTGACACAGGCGAGGATACCTTGACACATGTGAGGATAGCTTGACACATGTGAGGAGTGCTTGACACATGTGAGGATAGCTTGACACATGTGAGGATAGCTTGATACATGTGAGGAGTGCTTGACACATGTGAGGATAGCTTGACACATGTGAGGATAGCTTGACACAGGTGAGGAGTGCTTGACACAGGTGAGGAGTGCTTGACACAGGTGAAGAGTGCTTGACACGTGCAGAATGTTGTACACAGGTCAGATATGCCAGACATGTGAAGAATATGTGACAATGTTACCTTCCTCTGGCAGTTTAGATTTATTACCATTAGATTTATTATTTTTAGGCAGGCTCCTTCCAATCATTTATTCAGGAATTTTGGCCTTGAATTCTTATGGACTAAATTTCGAACTCTTCAGGATGCTTTATAAGTTAAAACTGGTGTATTTAATGAAGAAATTTAATCTGTTCCCAAGATAGGGCTATTGTTCCTAAGTAATCAGTGTCTTGGTTTAATTGGAGATATAAACTATAAGAAGATGGCGGTGAGTGGAGCAAGTGTTCGAAACGAGTGATCCTGTCTTTTTCGTATTTTAAAATAATGCTGAAATAAGACGAGTACATTATAAAAATGATACTGAGACGACTACACTTCATTAGCGAACTGTTTCACCACAGAATGTTATACATCTGCGGAATCGGATTTATTCATACACACCACATCTCTTCTACATTTCGTGCTCTTCGCTTTATGCACATTATTCAATCTGCCCAGAAATATTAACAACACTTTTCTCTTAACAACTTCCTCGATAAATCGTTTGTTTAATTAAAGAAAAGGATAAAACGTAATCTGTCGTCACAGTAGAGGCTTGGATGGTTAATTGTACCATAGAGTTGAGGGATGGTTAACTGGCATGTAATTTTGAAGTTGCTAAGATAAACGTCACCTCCATTCAGTGTTCAAGGTAATGTGACATAATAATGTACTCTTTCCTGCAAATTATTGTGAATTATCGTTTAAGAATAAAAACACTGAATGTTACTGCTGCTGCTGCTTGTGGCAGTACTAATGATGATAGTACTACTGTTGTTAGTGCTGCTGCTAGTGGCACTACTGCTGTTGTTACTGCTGCTGCTGCTTTTACTACAGTTGCTGTTTTTGCCACTACTGCTGCAGTTGCTGTGCTAATGATGATGCTCCTCTTGTTATTACGGCTTGTGTTTCTACTGATGCTACTGGTACTGTTTCTCTGGCTTTCCCCAGTTATTGCTGCTACTGTTGTTTTTGTTCCTGTAGATTAGTTGTAGCGTACAGCTTAGTGTTGTCAGAAACAGTGTTGGCTGGTGGCGTAAGACCCAGCAAGCAGGCTGGTAGTGACCTCACGTAGCATAGATAGAGTTCGACCACACACTTCCATAGCCCGAGGAACGACAGACACTGAAATTTTCCCGTATTTAGGTTACTCTGCGTGTTTCACACAAAGACAGTGATCGCGGTACGTAGTAATGAGAGGTTAACAACGCCCAGAGTTGTATCAACGTCAGTATGTCTTGTTGACGTGTCTGTCAATGCCATAGTTGCTTGAAAGGGACAGTGGTGATTGAATGGGCAGTGATCTCATCACGAGCACCAGTCTTCAGATATATGAAGACCGACACCATCTGTCAGATTCTCTAGTAATATAAACAACTGGAATTGTATTTATGGTTTACTTCAAGCATTAGATGATTGATTTGAATGAATGTTTTACGAACTTCGATGTTTATTATTTTAGGAGTGGGTATAAAGGCACAAACTGCAGATCAAAGTTTTGTTGGAATGACGTTTCTCTCACGGTAGAGCTTAATCAAATATGACTTAAAGCTCTACCTTGGACGAAACGTAGAGTCAGTAATAGCTTGTTCTACATAGTGTTTTTATACACAAGTGGCGGCATTACTCTCTACATCAGTATATTTAAAGATTTGGGAAGATTATAATAGTTTTAACTTTTTTATATTTGTATACAGTTTAACACGTATATGTAAATAATATTTATGGTTTAAGCAGAAAATTTCTAAGGTGACTGAAGATGTTATTGAATTATTCATTTTTTTAAATTTTTCCAACCAGCACAGGTCTACTGTTTTCATGTTGCTGTACACAGCTGTGCCTGCTAAACAGTTGTGTAAGACTCATCTTTATATAATTCTAGAACTCTGGTGGCCTGGTGGTTAACGCTCTCGCTTCACACGGCAAGGGCCTGGGTTCGATTCCCAGCCAGAGTAGAAACATTGGACGTGTTTCTTTCCACCTGTTGTCTATGTTCCCCATCAGTAAAATGGGTACCTGGGTGTTAGTCGACTGGTGTGGGTCGCATCCTGGGACACTGACCTAAGAGGCCTGGTCACAGACCGGGCCGCGGGGGCGTTGACCCCCGGAACTCTCTCCAGGTAAACTCTCTCCAGGTGTCATTGAGCTTTAGCAGGTATAATACCTTACGTTCATAGGATTATTAATAGCCTTTAATAAAATAGTACTCACATCACCTCTTATGTGAATATATTGTGAGCTTTTCTCAAGAATAGCTAGTCCGATTGGCTTCAAATTTTTAACATTAGTTTGTTTTTGTTAATTTTAATAAAATTTTAGGGGGACTATGATACACCTTCGGCTACTCCCAAGAAGCTCATCACTAGTAATTCTTTCCTTAATCACTTAAAAAAGCAACTGCTCAGGAAATTTCTCGCTTTACCGTTATTAATAATTTATCACAAGTTGTATACATTGATGGATCCGAGCAAGAGTCTACTAGCAGAGCTGCATCTGCACTTATTGCCACCTCCCTAGTTAAGAACGATAGAAACTTTGTTGAGTTAGGCATAAGAATTAAGAACTGGGTGTCTACACTGTAGACTGAATTGTTTGCCATCCTAATTGCGCTAAAGTTAACTTTTGACCCGAATTGGTCTGCTGTTTCACTGCCACAAATACACCTGTGTTCGGCGAGAATAGGGGCGGCAAGTCGAAGGGCAACACCGATGCGGATGGTCTGTGGGTCGATCCGTGTGCCAAGGCTGGAGTTGGAACAGCCAACAGAAAGTCCCCTGCATGAGGAGCTCTAACTGCCAGGAGGCGGTCTCTCTCTCTCTCATATTTACTCTTATTCTATCGTATTTTATATATATATCTTATATACATATACGGGGGTAAAAGAATATATATATATATATATATATATATATATACACAATTTTATAATCCTATGCTATTCTTTAAAATGTTATATAAAAACACACTTCTTTGAAATACGCTATCCTTTCTTTATTGCGTTGACGAAACACTTCTATAAAATTTTAGGTACCTTTATCTTCATTGAATGGCAAGTAAACGAAAACACTGGTGTTAATTTTGAGACATTTAGGGTCGTTAGAAGACTCTAGAACGTGACCAACGACTGTGTTCTTGTGACGACGAGAAAGCTTGTTAAGACT